AATGGATTGTTGCATTTGTCCTAATCTTCAATCAAAAAACTCCTTTTCCTTGCACACTATTAACGAAAAAAACCACTTAAATTCTCCACATGCCCGGTTATTTACTAGATTGTACAGCTCTGCTCTTTGAGCTATTCCGCAAGCAGCTTGTCATCTGCACGTTCATGGCTTCGTCAGAAAAAAAACGCTACATGTACAATTGTGTACAACAATGGGTTATCACTTAGATACATATTAGACTGCCTTTTTTCACTATAGAAAGTATTGTATATTGAAAAAAACACCAACTATCTCTATATAAATATAGAGGTATTTAATGCACTACCAGTTCATCACCATTCATATGCTTCAGACAGATTTCAGATTTCTTTTAGATCTCAAACCACAATACACCGAGATTCCTATCAAACTTTACCAAGGGTCTTATAAATTCAACATCCACAAGGTCTTACTTTAATTTTTTGATGTATGAAGAAGAATCTGAGGCAAGAACGCAGTGAAGCTTGTTTAGCGGCATAACGTTTTGAATGGTCGTTTTCAGATACCTACATTGAGGCAAGATTGGCAGTCATCATTCTTTGGGAAGTTTCCCTCCCCCTCCTCCCTAGGATTTACTGCAAAAGCACATGAAAAAGATTCTACTCCCGCTGAATTAATTTATGCTTATCGAGCAAAAAAAGAAGCTTTCGCAAGTGAAATACGTTCTTTCTTTTTTGTCGCTGGTTTTATGAAATCCAAAATGCTACAAAAGCTTGCGTGTTCTCACAAGGGAAAACGGTGTACCTAATTCCTAGTCATCACCGTTGCTTTCAGTTTTTGCCTCCCAAAAGGAGAGATGTGACCATTCCTTCTTTTGTTGACAAAAGGTCTCTTAATTCCCACGAGGGTTGCAGTTTCCACTAGTAATTTTGAAACCGCAAGCTAAGGTCATGGTTAGAACAGAGTCACTCTCATTTTCAGTAGCCTATTTCTCAAAAGCAACATCTCTCAGAAATCTTAACAGGCAAAGAAGTTTGACTCATCCACCGTGGATTACGTAGATATATACTCAGATTTACGAATCACATCTGCCCAACCGCTAATACAAGGCTAAAAAATTTTTTTCCAGATCATGTGGATGCCGTCGGTGCTAGTTCTCCTTATTTTTCTTTCTTTCGGTTTAGAAGGCATAGCATCCGAATGCGCTAAGAATTGCATACGTGTTCTTAGAGCAAAGGTGGATGACTAG